GTGGTCCGGGGGGGGGGGGACACACACACGTGTACATGTGTTTGTTGTGTTGGTTTCCGGCCCATGTGGTAGAGTTTTTTGTTTTTACATTCTTGTGTTTCAGGTGCTTTTCCGTGCCTCGGATATTGGGCCATTCGTATGTCTTCTGGGGGGCCCGGCGGGCCGAGGTAAGGCCCAATGGTCGACAGTTGGGTGTGCCGAAGAATGAGGCGATCGTGCGTTGGATCGGGGAGAAACATGGAAACCATCTGGAATGCTTTTAGCATCTGTTGGAACCAAATGTAAGGAGTTGCTAAGCAGAGGGCAAGTAGGCCAACTCAGATAGCAGGGACAGTGCAGCTATGCCCAATAATTGGTCATGAAGTGGTTACTGTGATTCCTCATTTTTCTTGCAGGAACACAGCAACAGTGGAGGCATCAAAGCAGATGCAAGGAGAGCCATCATGAGTGCCCGAGAGTGATGCAGCCTCTGGTAAGGTTAACTCTGAATCAGATATGTCATGATATGTCGAGTCTGATGAAGATACTCCTGAGGGTAGAGTTTTTACAAGGCTATTCAAAAATTCTTCAGATCTAATTAAATGGGCTAGTAGTCTAGGTAAGTGGGATAAGGAGGTTGACAAGCTGGTCAGGAAGGTAAAATTGGAGGGGCAAGGGACACTTTTGCAGTGTCCTTCTCGTCAACGCACTCTCAATTATCCAGGAAGGTCATTAAGTCGATAAGGGAAAGTTTCTGAAAATGTGAAACTTCGAACAATGGAAGGGACCATAAAGGGATTTTGAGTTGCATAAACGCTTTTTCTTTCATTTATTTTTGTGTGATTTTCGGGGAAAAAAACCAGAGCATCGCATAAACACGATAAGATACTTTGATTTGAAAATTGGTGCAGAATTGTTTTTATTCGGAAAAGGGTAGTCAGTTCATGACAAGATGGTAGAAAACAAGGGGAAGCTTTGCTTTGTTCAGAAGTACCTCGACGTATGGTCAGGAAAGCCCTGTTAGCCAAAATAGTCAAAGAGTTGGCATTTAAACTTCTGCTTTTATACTTGGAGAGCTGGAAGTTCATGGGTGGCAACTTCATAGATGTATGTTTGCCCATGGGGTGCACTATCTAGATAAGGAGAAGTTATCTGATTTGCTAGCCAAGGTCAGAGCAGTCAGCAACGCTAGTAAGGTAAGGAAATGCAGAGCTCGTTGGGGTCTCTCTACTTTGTGGTTAGGGTAATACCAGAAGGGCAGATGTTTAGTTCTTGTTTATTCTGGCATGAGGGGGTCACCAAGGTGCACCACAAAGTAAGGGTGACTGAGCAAATGGAGGACTCAAGAGTCTAAGAGGAATTCCTGAAGGGATTCAATGCAACAGTAATATGGAGCAATGAGGGCAGCTTTAATCAGAAGCTGAAACTATTCATAGATGCAGCAGAAAATGTCATGTTTGGGTCCTTCTTGCAAGGCAAACGGTGCACTGAGGCAGAGCCCAACAAATGAGATAAGACTGGCTTGACAAAGGATTTATCTTTGCTGAAATTGTTCCCAATTATAGCACCAGTCAAGCTAGAAAGGGAGGAGCTTAGAGATAGGGAGGTCAAATTCTGGACAAATGTTTGTTGTGCATGGGATAAACCATTTATCAATAATGTCAGGGGTGGATGTGAGGTTGCTCGGGCATCTTGTACTAAAATGTATGCAAATATCTAATTCAGGGCCAAGAATGTCCGGGGTAGCAATAACTCCAGGATGCATTTGCCAGGGGTAGATGAGGGGCATTTTATAAGCTAGCTCTATATATGCAAATACATGGTATAAAATGTTTGGAATATATTTGGCACCTCATGAATTGGTTAAGCAGTTGTTGGCACTGAAAATATAGACAATCTACAGAGATGTGGTATGAAAAAAGGTAAAGTGATAGGTCCGAGACTAACCAGGTGGGCAAAGGGGCCTAGGTGGTATTGAGCAGAAAAGATGATGCCTTCTGCCCAGTCCAAGTAGTAGAGTATTACTTGCACTAAGGGTGGAGTGGATTCTCAGTTTCTGAGGCATAGGGACTATTCCACCTTATCAATTTGGGGCCAGATTTAGCTTAGGATAGTAAGGTTTAAATTTCAACCTTTTCAGCACACACTTGCTTGGTTGGGTTGGTGAAGGAGATCATGGCAGTTGGGAGATGGAGGTCATGGGGGAATGTAGATGCCTGAGTGATAGACTGCTTGCTTGATTGCGGGTAGCCCCTTCAGTGGATGTTGTTCAGCAAGACTGGATTGCTAACCATTCTCTCACTTTAAATCCGAAGGTAAGCATTTGGATTTTTGGTCACTCACTCATCGACTGGGCATGTTAGAGTGCTAATGTAAGCAGATACTCATCTGGGGTTAGAATAGGAAGGCTTGCAAGTACACTGGCTTGGAAGAACGGGTCTAGAGTAGGGGCAGATGAGCGGGCTTATGGAGGAAATTGCTGCGAGATTGGGTTTCCTGTCTGCGATCATCTTTCACACTAAAAAAGTCACCTAATATTCAGCATACAGGTACAAAGGTGTCCGGACGTGAAATTATTCTGTTCCACAATCATCAGTAGAAGGTAATGGAGGAGAGCAGCAACAAGTACAGCAATAGAGAGGTATAGTAGGAAGAAAAATAGGGCAGTATGGGGACGTGGGGGTTCCATATTTATATATGGGCTGACTGAGAATTATTGTCAAGGTCTCCACAGAGGGGATGGCGTGCACCTCTCTGAAGTGGACCTGGACATTTTCCACAGTGGACTACAGCAGCAACTGAAGAGATGACTTCAACCTCCCCACTGGCAGCTAAGGGCAAGCAGGCTGAGCTTCAAGATTGGGCCCAAGCAGGCAGGGAATATGTTTTGGGTACTCTGGTCTGAATATGGGCCTCGGTGTAGTATTAGAGGGCTTAACTAAGGGTGGCTTCAGTTATCATTGGCCAGCTATAGGGAGGTATAATGCTCTGTGGTATGGCTCCATAGTGTTTTTAAATGTGGAATTGTTTAATAAATCTGGGTTCTCCAAATTTCTGACATATAGTCTTTGTTCCAAATATATTGGGGTGCCACTTGTGGAAAAGGGGATGAGTAGGTCATCCAGAGCCATCTGTAAGCTATTTATATATCCTTAAATGTATTATTTAAATGCAAGCAGTGTAAGTACCTTAACCTGGTGTCAGCCTGTGTCCCTGTACCGCCGAACTCAGGCTGAAGTAAGAAAAGCAGCACAATTAGCCAGTCAAGTTGATAGGAGAAGAGACAGCAGAGCACAGAGAGAAGAGCTTATCAGTATGCCACTTCTCCTTTTTCTGTCCAGTCACAGTGTAGGTGTGGTGAGCAGACTTGTTTGTCAAAGTTACACAGCAACAATAAGAGATTAAGCCCTCTCCCATTCCACGTAGGACTGTACTTATGTATGTACAGGCGGTCCCCGGGTTACATACAAGTTAGGGACTTTAGGTTTGTACTTAAGTTGAATTTGTATGTAAGTCGGAACAGGTACATTTTTGAAGTGTAACTCCAGCCAAAAAAACATTATTTCGTTTTGGATAGCATATGGAAGGGTCACGTTTGTTTTGCTGTCTGTTCCCCTTGTTCAGAAGATTATAATATAATAAAAAAAATGTTTTATTTAAAATGACACCTATTTTTAATTTTATTTTATAAACTTAATTTTTTTTATTTGTTTGCATTTTTAATTTTCATTTATTTAAACTTTTTTACATTTCTTTGTCTTTTCAATATATTTTTCTACACTTTTCTTATTATTTTAATGCTGGGAGCCATACCCAGCCTGCTATTGGATATTGTAAAATGCAATAGACAATAGCAAGCTGGCTATTGCATCTGCCTGAGGAGGGGCCTGATGGAGAAAGTTCTCTATCAGGTCCTCCCGTGCTGATTGACAACAAGCAGTGGGCAGGTACAATAGCCAGCTTGCTATTGGCTATTGCATGTGACAATATCCAATAGCAGGCTGGGTATAGCTCCCAGCCTGCAATGAAGAGGAGGCCGGGGGCGGGACAGCGAAGGAGCGGCCCGACGAGCAGATGATCGTCTGGACCAGGGAAACCGACGGATTGGCGGAAGAGGAGGCCGGGACATCAGCGGAGGTAAGGGGGGCAACGGCAGTACGCAGCGGTCTGTGTCCCTACTGCCCACGCCAACACAGGCGCGGAGAGCAGCGGGGACACCGGCCGCTGCAGCCACAGTTCTCCTAAATGTACCGGCGGCTGCCGGTATATTTAGGAGAACTGTGGACCCCGTTCGTAAGTACGGATTGTCCGTAAGTCGGACGTCCGTAACCCGGGGACTGCCTGTATTTTATCTGTTTATTTAACTCTTTGCCTAGGCTTCAGCTTCAGAATCCATTGTCCTGGTACTGAGGTAATTGCTCAATAGAATAATCAATGAAAAAAGTCAACAGTTACTTAGTGCAGGGAAAAAACAGAATAATAAACCAACTGGTTAAGAGGGGCAGTGAAACCATACGGTAATGTGAAATGTAATCAGATATTCACTTACATGTTATGCTTCTCCAGCTGCAGAACTTTACGTTGAAGCTCCTGATTTTGGGCTGTGCATGCAGACATCCTAAGTAAATAAAGTTAATATAAGAAATAAAAAAAATTGCATTTTCTTATCTACACAAGATTTATTTGCAAATTTAAAGAAGTACTACTGTATACATTGAAAAACAAAAATTGTTATTACTTGTTAGCACTGGCAGAACTACGAGGGTCATAGCGGTCGCATGTGCAATCGGGCCCTGGTGTTTCACCACTTGGGGGGGGGACGAGACACTGACATACAGCTCCCCGCAGGCCAACGCTCTCTGTACAATGATTGGAGACACGGAGCACAGACTGACTGGATGGCAGATGGAGCACTACAAACAGCAGCTCCCATTCTGCAGCTGGGCGGGGTTCTGTGCACATACAGGTAGCTACTTATTATGAGTACTCTTCAGGTGTTGACAGTGGAGGAGCTCATTCATAAGCATACATGGGGCGGAGTTCTGAGTTGAGTAGTGGACGGTGGTGTGTCAGGCTGTGCTGTGTCACAATCTACAATGTGTGACAACAAATAATCCTAATTTATATTCGTTACAAGAAATGTCATACATTTCAATACAAAGAAACACAATTGTCTTGAAAATAAATAAAGATTATATATATATTTATATAAATGTGATAAAAATCTTTTATAGAGCACACAATGCTGAATGCGCAGACTGTTATAGCCACAATCAGTGTGCAATTCACTACCAGAGCTTATAGTTACGCCTCTGCTTGTTAGCCATACAAAGTTAGATTGAAATAAGACACATGGAGTTCAACCAAAAGACAAAGATAAATACATTTATAAGGCTCCTTTTTTATCTTCAAAGGCACTCTGTTACTCCCTGGATCAACAATGTACAGTGTTACTTTTTTTATAACTATTAATAGCTAGTTATACAGTATTTTGTGCATTAAACACACATTCGGTTTTCTAACCAATCTATTGAGTTGGCTTGTATATTTCACATTTTCACAGCTCTCACTGTTAGATATGTGTGATTCCTTTCATTCTGAATCGGACGAATATCAGCAGATTTGGACATTCGCATGCATCCGAATTTCCAAATGAAGAAATAATGACTCCAAATGTATCTGAATTTTCCGATAACAAAAATTACGGATGCTTCCATTTAGGTTTGGTAGGAATCTTAGGGGGGGCCCCAACACCCCAAAAAATATGTGGGGTCCCTTACCAGACCCTAGATCTGAGCAGCAGCCTGGCAGAGCAAACCCCTTGCAAAGCACTTTGTCCCCATGTCGATGAGGACAAGGGCCTCTTCCCCACAACCCCTGTTTGTGGGGGTCTGTGGGCAGGGGGACTTATAGAAATCTGGGTGCTCCCTTAATGCCCCCCCTCTTGTGAATGAGTAAGGGGTAGTTGTTACCCCTACTCATTCACCAAACACAGTAAAATTGTAAATAAACACACCACACTGTAAAAAAGTCCTTTATTTGTAAAAAAAAAAAACACACAACACAATGTTTGACATGTCTTTTATTAGAAACAAATAAATGTCCATCGATGTAGATCCCCATCAATCATAATGGATGACGGCAGTCGACTCGCCAAAAGAAAAATTACCCACTGCCATTGACTGATCCCAACGAACTCTCACCTCAATAAATTACAACTCTTACCCGAATGTCAACAAATCGGTGGATCACGGGACTTGTTCCGTCCCTTTGTTGACATATGGGAGCAGAAGCACTCTGCTCCCAAATGTCAAGGTGCAAAACAAGTCCCTTGGCGTCACGACTCGCTTCCCTTCCCATGTTAAATGGGCATGTGGCCTGGTATGTTGCCCCCCTGCACCATAGGTGGCTACACTCTCCTCTGCCAGGCTGAAGCTCAGATCAAGGGCCAGGTAAGGGATTTTAAAGGGAAGCCCAAGCTGTTCTTGTTTTTTTGGTGTTGGGTCTGGTATGAATTTGGATAGGGGCATGGCCTAGCTATGGCGGTGTGAGGACACTGATCCTTTGAGCTCTGCTGCCTTACAGGCATCTTGCAGTTGATCGCCACCTAAATACCTACTAAAATCGATGTCCAAAAAGAGCAAACCCACCGGAACTGACAGCGCGAGGAACCCCAGGGACCTCCACCACTTCTTCTCATCCCCATCCGTTTCCACTCGGTCCGCCACAGCAAACCGCATGGCACATTTGAATCATCGCGGCCTACAGCAACCCCTGTTTCTCTGGACTTTGCAGGATCCCCCCCCCCGCCTCCTGGTTCCAATGGCCGAG